GGACGACGCCATCCACCGCATGGAATTCGCACAACCTGCAACAAAATATGGGCCCTTAGGCACCAAATAAATAACACGAACAACTTACAAATCATTTCAGTAAGCAGTCTGAGGTACAGGAAAGGACTCTACCTTGGTCTCAGTCATTAAGTTCCAAATAATAAAATCCACTGATGCAAAACCAGCAGCACAATGGCAGCTTGACAACTCACTGACAGAGCTATTATCAGTGGAGACGGATTGAATAAGACTCAACTCCTTCACTTGCTTCATCCCTGTAAAGTCTAATGTCTTCCTATCTGTTTTATATTCCAGATAGCATATACAACCATCTGCTCCTGTCTGGGAAAAATGAGAAATTAAGTACACAGCAGCCTACTTGAATGAAATATTATCTTCCAATATTTTCAGATAATGGCTAGAAAATGTTTATATAAAAAAAGAAGCAAAGTTAAAATGCACTTGTACACAGAGACACACTCAGAATTACTAGAAAGCAAATGCTATGATCACTCTTGTAGATCAAAGTTGAAATTTGACATACCGAGCGTATTTCAATCTGACTGGAACTTAGTCTACCTACAGAAACACTTGAAACACTTGATATCCCATGAGCTCCTTTGAAATAATTTGACGGAGATATTTTCACATTAGATGCCACCTCTGTGCCCTGCAACACGCCCTTCCGCAAAGGGAACAAAACAAGATTACCACGTATATCTCCACATACCAATACCTGCAAAATTCAACCAGAAGGGGTGTAAAAACAATTATTAGATCAAATTCAAGCATTTGAAAAGTGAATCAATCCAACATCTGATTTTTACATGATCAATGGTTGTTCATGTTTATTGTGTTATAAATTTAGGCACGTAGTTAATAATTTTCTTAAAGTTGAAGGGAAGGGCTTTCATCTCCCTATGTAGCTCAGCAGTAGTCATTGTTCGCTTTCTTTCATCTCAACTTTCAAAATCATGATTTGAGAGTGTGTGCGCTTGTGTGAGAGGGGAGGTATTGTGCCTACACAACACTGAACCCCTCGTTATTATTAGTAATTCTGAACACTTATTACCAATCAAAGGTTAAAAGAAAATCGAAGAAACAGAAAATGGCACAGAATGTGACAAATCCCATTCAAATGAAATTAAAAGAAAAAAGAAGCTGACGGGAAAAAATTACCTCTTCATCCAAAGATGCATCTAAGCACATGATTCGGATTCCAAAACTAGATGTGAATTCTGCTACAAGAGATACATTGCAGCTCCTGGCAGAATGGTTAGACAACCTCCAAAGCTTCAATGTTCCTCTAGGGTCAGCTGAGAAGATGTACCTACATGGCAACAACAGCAGAATTGATGGTCTGAATATTTTAAACTTCTGCATCTGAAAGTTATTCCAAGAAGGCCTAGGTGATGTCTGTCATCGAAAATCTAAGTGGCAGGGACATGATCATTCTGCCAATTAGGAAGTAGTATGTGTAGCCATCGCAGAATATGGCTCACCTTTGACAATCATGGACAGTACATCTAGAGTAAAGACCTAGATAGTATCAACTCAGCACCCATGAACAACTTAGGTATAGAAGAAATAATTAACAATTATTATTTAAAAAAATAATGGCTGATCCTTACCCATAACCTAGTGACTTGCACCAATGTGTTCCTAGGAGTTGTCTCTCCATTCCAGCAGACCAAGTAAGGGCAAAACCCACTTTTGGGGTACAAGCATCACATATAACCCCAACGACTGTCATGTTTCCTTTACCATCTCCAACAGCAACCCAATCCTCAACACTACAGCAAAGTTCAAATGGTTCTGACAATAAATCCATGCAAATAATCGGCACTTCTTCACTGAGGCGGACAAGTTCAGTCCATTCTACTTCTCCATTGTCCAATAATTTAGCATGGTACAGATAACCATGGTTTGTGGAAACATATAATGTATCCTCACGTGCAAAGTGCAAGCAACGTACATATTCGCTTTTGCTGAACCAAAGTGAGAAAAAGCCAACAAGTCCTCTTAGTACCAATGTAAAGTAAGATAGAATTGCTGTAATCACAAAATTTCAGGAAAAGAACAACAGAAGAACCATAGACCAAAGGATCGAAAGTGTGTGCGTGTGGTGTGTGTATTTATTATAAAGCTTGTTGGGTTCCGACATTCAATTATTTAGGTGTTAACTACCTGTCCAGTTGATTGTTTATCATACATTAAGATTGTTATGACACATCTACAATTACCTGACTCCAGGCAGCCGGACTCTTATAGTCATGTCCTTTCTTAGCTATGGTGCCAATGAATCAATACCCTTGCTGAGCATGTGGAGGACCAAATTGTCACATTTTCAAATTTCCAAGACTACAGACTTATCTTTTCTTTCTCATTAGAAATATCAAAAGTTTTGGAGTTAACAATGTTGAGATGGACCCCAAAGTTTGTTCAATATTCAAAGTACTACCTGTCCATAGGTCCACTATGCTCCGACAAAGTGGGGATATGAGTTGTGTATGCAATCGTTCTATCGATTTCTTTTGTCTCTGCAAGTCCCTCCAGTCCCCAAGAAAGTGAAGCGTGCAGCTGATGCATTTTTATTGCAGAGTCAAAACCAGCAGTAATGAGAAGTGAAGAGTTTGGATCATACAAACATCGCCATATTCCCCTTCCTCTGTACATAACACGACCAAAAAAAGTAAATGGTCAAGGCTATTTTCTTTTCTCCAGAAATTATTTTACTGTTATGTTGAGATTTGGATCGTCAGTAATCAATACAACCATTTCATTTCAAAACAAATAAAAACCAAAGTAATCAACAGAAAGGAACTGCAAGCCACTTACGTGTGCTCCTTGATCATTTGAAGGTGTTTACCATCCAGTCCCCACACACGACATGTACAATCCTCACCAGCAGTGACAATCAACTAAAATAAAAAAGTATGGAAACAATAACTAATCAGCACTCTACACATAAGTAAACTTATAATCTAGTCTAGATCATCTCGACCATCGCCATCAGGAGAACTCAACCCACATGCTAAAAAAACCAGAATGATTATGAAAACAATTCAAGTTGACTAAGTTAACTGATTTTGGAAAGTTAACCCTTATCACCAGACATAATGACAGACAGTGAAATGGCATACTTAGAGATAGACAGGACTGAAAATCCTATCAAATGAAAAGTTTTCCCCAGGGAAAAACTGACATGAGTAATCTGTTCTAATATATGGTGAGTTGACTCTCCAACAATTATTATTAGTATTATTATTTTGGATAGGAGAGAAAAAAATAAACAAGAAATAAGAAGGCAATGAGTATTCATAAGATTTTGTAAAACTTACAGAACCAAAAATACAGCAGTCCCAAACTCGGGCATTGTGACCAAACAGCACAAGGCCAATGGGTTCCCCTAGCTTCTCAGAATGTTTCATCTCAGAGGAAACTTCCCAGACACGAGCACTACACCAATGAAGAGACCAAATCATTGATTGGAAGCATCATTAAAGGAAACCAAAAAAAAAAAAAAAACACAACTTGCTGGAGATTTTAAAATCATATAATTTCAGTAACTACTTCACCTGCGATCGTCAGAGACGGAAACCAGTTTGGATCCATCAAAGGACCATGCTATGCGGAAAATGGAACCTTCATGTCCAGAAAGTTTGCACATATGACTAGCTTCATACTGCCAACCATGAGGCTGAACACATTTTGGGAATAAATTACTCTGATCAATGTGGTCTTCTACTTGACTTGCTAAAGATGATGCATCATACTGAGGAACCACTTTCCAAACAATGATCTGTGCAAATCCAATTCTTTAGTAGTTATCTAAACCATAAACACGCATACACACACGCACACTGAGCAATCATTTGTTTGGATGGGTGGGGAAAACTATGAAAAGAAAAGATTAGCCACCTCGTTATAGATAGTACCAGATGCAACACGGAGAGCTTGAAGATTGTCACCCCATAACCGCATTGAATACAGAAGGGTTTTCTCTACAGTTGAATATAAGAATTCAGTTCTTGAACTTCAAATAAAAGTTTTTTTTTAAAGCTAAAAAAAATGAGTCAATTCAGCCAGAACTAACCAGGATGGTGAACTTTAAGAACCACAGTAGAAGTTGTGACATCCCAAAGCTGGACAGAGTTGTCACTACACCCTATAGCAAGACAATCACCCTCCTCATTCCAACCACTCACAGACCCCTGCTACCAATTCAACAGACCAAAGAAAAAAGAAGAAAAAAAAACTCACTAATATTCTCAACCTGATAAAAAAAAAAAAGTTGTTGAACTTGAGGAAGCATTCGTACCTTCAAGAATGAAACATCCAATACCCAATTAGCAAACTTTGGCAAGGATTGTAAGAGCGTCAAACTGACACTCACTAGCTGCCCCATTGCAACCTGCAAACTAAACATCTTCACTCTCCTTTCGCCAAATACAACAATGTTGAAAGCAACAACAGAAGGCAATGTTCCCTCTGCGCAATCAGTAGAGCTACAACAAACTATCCCATGCACTCGAATGCCTTGGAACACGTCGAACGACCTTACCATTCTTCCCACTTCCAAATCATACACCATGATTTGAGAACCTGACCCTGTTTTGTTCAATAAACTACATGTTAAAACGAATTTGAAGCTGAAGATTTTCAGATAGAGACTGATACTATGAAAGTCGTACCGGCGATGAGATAAGGGAAAGAAGAGAAGCTCGAAGGTAGGTGAAGAAAACATAGAGCTGAGATTTCTCCGAGGTATTGACCGCTTCGCAGTTGCCAAGAACCTCTCTTCTTCTCCACTGCCATGGTTTGGCTTTGCTTCGTTGCTTGGACTGGCTGAACTTGAATCCTTTTCTTTGTTGTCTGAGAGTTACTGACTGAACCGTTTGAAGGGTTTAAGCGTAATGGGCTGGGCTGGGCTGGGCTTGGCCCAAACAATTTGTGTAAGTGGGAAAGATAAACCCAAGAAATAGAAACCTTGTTTCTTTCTTGAAAGGTCGTCATCCGTTCTCCAGTTCCATTGCGTTTGCGGCACCGTTTCCCTCTTCCTCTGCAATCTCTCAGACGCAGACGTAACGGCACAAACCACAGACTCACGGATGGGTAGAACAAAATCATTCAAGGATGAGTTTACATTCGGTTTGTTGTTGTTCCAAACACTTGAAGTCTTCTTGTGCAACAAAATCTCATCTTTTTTTGTTGTTCTTTTTGTTTATAGAATCTGATGTTATAACTTGTATCTCCTTGTTTGAAATTGTTTCAGAACAAAGGGTTGAAGAATCACAGGACATCAAGGCCAAGTACCCTGATCGAGTACCCGTAAGACCCACCAATAAGTCTTTTTCTTTTTCTTTTTTCTTTTTTTTGTTTCTCATTTTTGGTTTCAACTCTGTTTACGGACATACAGGTTACAACTGAAGATTATGTATGGTTGAAATTGAAGGGAAAAGAGATGTTATGGGATCATTCATATTCATTATTACTAACTATCAGATTTCTCTGGGTAATGGTATCACAGGTACTTGTGGAAAAGTATTCCAGGACCGACCTTCCTCAGATGGAAAAGAAAAAGTAAGCTTAAGAGACCTCTTTCATATTTCAAAGTTGCCACCTTTATACTTTCTATCAGTTAACACTAGATCATTGTTCATTTCAATGGTCCTATGACCGAACCCTACATTTGTGATTTGTATCTAAGATTGGAATGGGTGTGGCTGCTGATTTGCTATAACTTATAAATGATTGCCTTGGTATGAGTAATTTATCAAAGGCTGCTGCATTACCTTGTCAAATCTCAAATGCCAACATTGTCTAACCAAATTTCTAAACTTTGGAGCGTTGGGTTCCTCCTGCTTTATGCTTGGAGGAGTTGAATGGTTTTTTTTGTAATGTGTAGACTAATAGCCATGTACACTTTAACTTACACTAATAATAATAAGCTTATAAGTTTTAACATCCTTGTGATCATCTCTTTGATGGTAGATACCTTGTCCCCCGAGACATGTCTGTCGGGCAATTCATTTACGTTCTGAGCAGCAGACTTCATCTGGCCCATGGAAAAGCTCTCTTTGTGTTTGTGAAGGATACTTTGCCTCAAACAGGTAAATGGAAAATTGATTCTTTGTTTGTAGTATCAGTCATGCATGGCCTGTTTTGATTTTCTTGCCAGAATGATATTGTAACTTACAAGTCCTTTTTCTCATGAATGAATGTCACATTGCAGCTAGTTTGATGGACTCTGTCTATGAATCCTTCAAGGACGAGGATGGATTTCTCTACATGTGTTATAGCACTGAGAAAACCTTTGGGGGCCATGCCAATGTTCAGAGATATGAACAATGATTTCTCTTTCATGGTTGTAAATTCCTGCAAACTTGCTCTACCTTCCCACCTTGGCCTCACATCTCTGTTTGGAATGGATCATAACTTATTCTTCAAATATTCAAAGTTTAGTTGTTAGTACAAGGAATCTTTGGATCTACCATATGATATGAACCACCTTTGGCTGCCCCTTTTTCTCTTATTGTTCGTTATGTTTGGATATTATAATATCACAAAACGTTCCCTAAAGTTTACGAAACTATCAGATTGTATCCTTAATAATTTTTTGTATCACTCGTGGTCCTCAAGGTTAGTATGTGCGATGATAAATGGTCCTTGTTGTTAAGTTCCGTCTAAAACTTTGTTATTTTGCTGACGTGGCATATATATCACAAAACATCATTGAGGTTCACACACCTATTACAAATGGTTCTTACGAAAATTTTCAATTTTTTTCATTTAAAATTCATAAAATTTTGGTTTTCTTTTTTAAGTTATTTATAAATGAAAAAACCATTTATAGAAGGATTTTAATCTTGAGGACCATTAATGAACCCTAAATCTTTAGTTTTCTCATTTTTTCATTTTATGAATTTTAAATTATTTTTTAAAAACTCCATTAGTTTGTTGATGTGGTATATATACGGAGCCCACAGCTACAATAGTATAGTGTGACATATATTTAAAATATGCTTAATTATGTACATGGCCCATGTGCTTTCAAACTTATCTCAGATTATCACCTGCGTTTGCAAACGTCTCAAAGTACCCCCCGGCCTTTTAAAAACCCTCTCACGTTATCCGTTCCGTCAGTTTTTTTGACGTTCCGTTAAGTTTTTGTTACTGTTCGAGAACAGCAGCCCCTCCCCTTTGTTACTATTCATCTGAACAGTTTTTGGGCCGCCATCTCCTCCTCCGACCACCCCAAGCGACGGCATGGGTATCAAAAGAACCAGCACGTTGTCCTCTACCAGCCTCACATCTCAGCAGCTGCCAACCGCCGTCTGGATCACCGGAACAAGCAAGAAATTGGCCGGTTTTTACCCAAAATCTTCATCGCTCATTCGGGTGATTCCGAGCACCATTTGCTTCGATCCAGGTATGGTTTTTCAACCTCTCGAACTGTTCTTACTATTAGTTGTGTTGGTTATGAGAAATTTATGAGTTTTGGAGGGTAAATAAGCAATTAAAAATCTGCCGGTTGGGGGGTGTGGGGGGGGTGCTGTTTTGTGAAATTGTGGGGGGGGGGGGATGAAGAGAAAAAATAGAAGAAAAAAGGAAGTGGGGCCCAACGTTCGTAACGGAACGTCAAAAAAACTGACGAACCGGGTAATGTGAGATGGTTTTTAAAACGTTGGGGGGTACTTTAAGACGTTTGCAAACACATATGGTAATCTGAGATAAGTTTGAAAGTACAGAGGGCATGTACATAATTAAGCCTTAAAAATATAATATATTTAAAATAATTTAAAATTCATAAAATTTTAAAAAGAAAACAAAAATGTTATGAATTTTAAATTTAAAAATTAAATTTTTTTGCAAGAACCATTTGTAATAGGTGCGTAACATCAGGGATATTTTGTGATATATATACACCACGTTAGGCCTGGGCATTTGGACCCGAAACTTGGCCAACCCGCCTAAACCAAACCGATGAGTTGGGTTTGTTTGGTTTTTTTTTTTTTGTCATCGGTTTGAACCCAAACCAAACCGAAGATATTAAAAAATACTATATATAATATTATTATAAGATATATATATATATAATACATAGTTTCAATATTTTCTTTTTCTTCTCTCTCAATCTCTCCGTTTGTCTTGTCTTCATCAGTCCCTCTCTCTATTTTTATTTTCTCATTCTTCTTATAAATGTTTTCACGCCCTCTCCCCGTCTCCCTCTTCTTCTTCTCTCTCCTTTCTTTTTCTCCTCTTCTTCTTCTTCTTCTCCATCTCTCCCTATTTTTTTCTTCTTCTTCTCCTATCCATTGCTTTTATTTCCTCTCTCTCTCTCTCTCTCTCTCTCTCTCTCTCACTCAGAAAGCCAAAAAATCGAAACCGAACCAAACCAAACCACCAAGTCCAGTTAACTGAAGTGGTCGGTTTTCATCAATTATGGTTTGGTTTCGGTTTTCAAAATAGCCAAACCGAAGCCTACGGTTCGATTTCGGGTTGAGCCCAAAATCTAACCAACCCAAACCGAGCCCAGCCATATGCCACGTCAACAAACTAACGGAGTTTTTGACAGAACCTAACGACATGAACTATTTGTGATCACACATACTAGCCTTGGGACCACGAATGACAAAAAAACAAATTAAGGATGCAATATGACAGTTTCGCAAACCTTAAGGACGTTTTGTGATAATAAACCTTATAATAATTTGAGCAAATTTTGATAAATCACATCAATATGTCACATGTTGCATCCGTGTGTATAACTTGTCAAGTGAGTCAGCGAGTGGATATAGTAATTTATAATTGTTCTCACAAGTTTATTGATTCAATTTAGCCTCCCGACATAAATCTGTTTTCATAAGGCTCCTCTCTCCATAGAGAGATATGATGCCTTACATTTCTGTTTTGACCTCCAACTCCAAACAAAAAACTATTTATTCAAAAAAAAAAAAAAGTAAATTTGGTTTACACCCTTTAAATTCAATTTGCCGTACCTAAAACCCTTCACTTTTTGTTCCTATAAATAATACCCAATTTGTATAAGTAAAAACCCATGACTAGGATTTAACTCAGCAAGTTACCTAATTAAGCATAAAATCTGATTTATTGTACTTTTCAAATTCCAAAAATACCCCCAACTAAGCCATTATTGCATTTTATCTATTAATGTAGGAATCAATATGGAAACAGTTTTTAATTGGATTGTATATAATGACAGATGTTGAATTTAGAAAGATCTCCAAATGGTTGTAATGAATGTAGGAATTAATTTGAAACATTTTTTTAAAAAATTTAACAATAAATTCAAATTTGGGTAATCAATTTGTTTAATAAAATGTTTATGTTATTTTCTTTTTATGAATTATACATGACTAATAATCCACTTTATAATTGTTTATGAATAAAACTATACATACTAATTATGTTGAAAAAATAATGTACCTATTTGTTTTATGAAAAATATAATTTACCTAGTATGAAAAGTGTACATAATTATCTATTCCAATATACCTACATTATACGACATCCAATATACCTACATTAATTTTAATGTACTTACAATTAGGATTTAGGTATTATATGTCATCCAATGTACCTACCATTTGAATAATATACCTACTACGAATAAAGTACCTATTATTTATCTAAATAATGTACCTATTTTTTATCTAAATAATGTAATTTATTTTTTTCTATAAATAATATAGCCTTTTTTCTCTGAATAAAGTACCTATAATTTGTTTTATTAAAAGTAATTTTTTTAAATGAACCTATTTTCTCTCTCCAAATAACTTACCTATTTTTTTCCTCTAATAATGTACCTATTTTTCATAGGTACATTATTGGATATGTAATTTATTGGATGCCTATATTTTATATGTATATATTTATATTATAATTTTCATAAGTACATTATTGGATATGTAATTTACATATTTTTTTTTTCTGTTTGCAAGTTTAGGGGGCGAGATGTGAGAGGGAATGACAACTATAAGAAATGGGCTGATTGATATGCTATTAATAGAAAGTA